AAGAGGAGGCGGAGCTAATGCCTGATCAGAATTCTACCGGAGATAAAGTTAAATTCATGCTGTGATAAAACGCCATCCTGTTCTAAACCACATCAAGGATTATTTCTGAAACAGTATGGAGCTCAAATGCTTTTTTTCTCTTGCAGGTTTATCACAAGGTGAGTTCTTTTTTGTTCCTGCTTTTTAAACACGTGCTCTTCAGTACAGGTTAGCTCTGAGTGTTAGCGAGGCTTGCTAATGTAAACAAAGATGACGTCCAAAACACGTCAGGCATTGTTTCTGATAGCAACTTTCTGTGGGTCCACTGACGATTTGACGTCAGATCGGCAGCAAATCTGCATCTGCTCGTTGGACACCCGTTTTTAAAAGATTTGGGTACAGAGGAAAAGAGAGAGGGTTTTATTTTCTGACGCTGCGTGAGTTCCCCGACGCACCGGGGACACATATTTATGTATAAAAGACATCACAAAGTGCATTTTGCATGATAGGTCCCCTTTAAGTAAAATGTTGACCTTTTAGTGCTTCACTTGAGTGTTTCCATGTTATGCTTTTTAATTCTACTCCACTTCATTTCACAGGAAAGCATTGTACCGATATGTGTCTTTAGTTACTAAAAGTGCTTTACTGATTTCAGATGAATTATAATTTACAAGCAGTAAACAAATATTTAAGACATGGTTAATACCTAATTATAATGTAGATATTTAAATGTGTCTTTATGTAGTATTTGTCAGCAATTATAACTTCATATTGTACAATGTACAAATGAAGTTCACCATATTGTCATTTATTGTTTACTGTTATTAAAATTACTTCAGCTAAGTGTTAATGTTTGGGATGAATTCATTCATAAATGCATTCATACCTAAGTGTTAGAAACCATTTGATAAATGTGTTTACTGCTTCGAAATAAAAAACAGAAAGCAATAAAGGTTTGTTTAAATGAATTCTCAGCTTTTTGCCCTGTTTTTTTTTTAAGTTGTAAATGTCACCGAAAATACTGAACGTACTCTTCCAATATCAGAGTTATGCATGATAACAAAGGCCCAACTGTGGCTGTGTACGTAACAGGATGTATGATTACCTAGAAGAGCATCAGGACTTTTTTTGTCATATGATAGCTTTGTGACAATGATTAACATGATGATCCAGCCTCTATGGAGATAGACATATGACAAGCATGATAATTTCTGACGTGGGCCTTAGCTGATCTAATCTAAACATTGTATACTGCTTTGAACCGGTATTCCTCCATCTTGTGACTGTGTAACACCCTCTCTTGTTTATAAGCATGTGAAGGACACTGTTCTGGGAACTAGTTGTACCAAATGCTCTGTATGTGATGACTACTTTAAGGATAATAAATACATGTATCCTGATTATTGAAGCTCAAACGTGTGTGTTCGGGACGAACCAAGTAGCGAGATAGGCGTAGGGGTTTCTGTTTTACTTGGGAATGTATTTATATTTTTTCTGATCAGTTATCATGTTTGTTTTGGGTTCAATTAACAGATATAAACAGTTAAAAATGCTATGTAAATAATATTATGGATATTCTTTATAATTATTATGATGACACGTGTATTTATTAAGTGTACCTGTGAATGGTTTCTCCCAATCAAGAACCTCTATAAGTCTTCAGTCAGAGAGGAAGGGTGAACATGTACAGGGAGTGGTGAACAACTACATGCTGGCTACTGTTCTCTTGTGGTGTTTTTGGAATAAATTCACCATGGTTTGCAATTCTACCTCCTCTCGTGGTTGATTCTTTTCCTGAAAATCCAACCGCTAAAGGGTCGCTGTCTCACACGGTGACGAGTGATATTTTTCTAACAAAGGGTAATCAAATTTATAATGATTTCTTCATTCATTTTTTAAAGGGTAACTAGTAGCTGTAACCTATAACCTACCAAAAATACACATTATCATCAGACCTCCCAGTAACATAGAAAAGACACCAACACCCTGCTCTGCTGTTTAAATAAGTTTATTGCATTGACTTTGCATGAGACAAACAGTGAGGAGTTAACCAAATGTCCGCTTGCAGGCCCGCTCCCCTGACTCAGTTACAGGCTCATGGAGCTGCAGGTAGCCTCGGACTGGTCGGTGGTGAGCAGCTTGTGCACGCTCACTCCCATGGAGGACAGGATGCCTTGCAGCTCCCCCAGGGTCTCCTCGGACAGGGTGGGCTCTCTGCTCATGATCCAGGCGAAGTCAAAGTGCAGCACCCCGAGGTCGGTGCAGCTGTACACCAGAGAGTAGTTCTCGTAGTCGGTGGACAGCACCCAGTAAGGAGCAGGGGGGGCGTCTGCAGGTGAAAAGAGACAGTAATGTCAATTTAAAATGTATATTCTTCCACAGCAGGGATGTCCAAACTTTTTTCACTGATATATGACCTCTTAAGTTATAAGTTAGCAAAATCAATCAAATGTGGGTAAATTATTCTCGATACTTGAAAAATGATTTAGAAAACGAACTGCCTACATCCCAGCTCTCCATAGGGTTTGCTTTATGTTGTTAGCAGCTCATTCCTGAAAACAGATGCCTCAGATTGCTTATAATAAGGGAAAATATGAAGGGTATATTTCAAGCTTGTAAATAAGTTATTGGGCTTTTGTCTCATCAACTCACATTTGTTAGAAAATGTTTTCAACTTTAAAAAATGTGATTACTAACACATGAATACTGTATAGTATATTTGTACGTATATATATTTGAAAAGTACAATATAAGACAAGCACAAGTTTAATTTGTGGGCCATATTCCATTATACTTTTTTTATTTGCTGAGGGCCGATTAAAAATGGCTCGCGGGCCGCATTTGGCCCCCGGGCCATAGTTTGGGCACCCCTGTTCTACAGTATTGATAGAGAGGACACTTCAACTGTAACTCTGAGTGTTGGAACAGTTATATTTCCAGGTTCGTAATAAATAAGATGTCCTTACTCTCGAAGAAGGAGACCTGCAGCTTGGCCGGCTCAGAGGGGTCTTTGGCGGTGGCAGAACCATTGATGGAGCTAATGCTACCATCAGAACTAAAAGAAACAAAACATACATTTAGAAACATTTACACAAAGTAGTGGAGGACCTATTTTGTATAATATATGTCTGAAAGTGAAAGTCCTAAATAAGTATGAACAGAAAAATGTAGTAAAAGTATAGTTTTTTGGTGTATGCTACCTTTCAGAGAGTAACATATTTTAAGAATATCACTATACTGCTGCTGCTACAGAGAACTTTAATAGTAGCATCCTCTGTCACCTACATTATAAACTGTTGGATAGTTTAATCTAAACCACAGCATCATGTTTTTATAGCCTGATCATGTGTTTATTTTGTGCTCTCTAAATCTGTAAAGTAACCACATCTAACTGTAATATATATTCAATATATAGTAGTAAAGTAAGAGCACAGTAGTCCCATCCAGGGCCGTCCCTCCCTACAGGCCGGTCATGCAGACTGCGTGGGGCCTCACCTTGCGGAGGGGGCCTCATCTGAGCCCTATGTGCTTATGCGGCACCGTTGACGGGCCTCATGTTGGTCGGCCCTGGTCAATCAATCAATGTTTATTTATATAGCTTACAATTGAAAAAGTCAAGTATGGTAACAATCCATCAAAGTTGTATGTATTTTAAGAAGTACATGAGTAAATGTAAATTAAAGACTTTTGACAGTCACAGGCTTCACAAAACTTAGTTTAGCCTTCACAGTAAAGTGAAACCCCCTTGTTGATAAGTAATAGCTCCAGAAAATACATTCTAGTGGTCAAACTCTTCATGAAAAAGTGAATGTATGCATGTGGAGTACTCACAGCAGCTCGCTGTTGAGGACACCAACGACTCCGGGGCTCTGCAGGCTGTAGGTGGCAGTGCAGCACTCGCCCTTCTGGAAGGTGTGTGGCAGTCTCTGGATATCAAACCACTTACCAAGATACTGCAGAGCAAACACACAACAACACGACATCAATTTACTGTTGATGAAGGGCTGCAGAGTCTTGAGGCATTCATTTGCAATTGTTGTTTATTACAGCAGGTCCCAGAAGGCCTCATTTGCTAACTCCTGGAACTTAATGAAATGTGAATTAAATGCTGCCTTGTTTCCCAACAGAGTTTAATAAAGTTTGTATTCACCCTGGCAGTATCAAAGTCCTCCTGGACGCCGGTCTGGGGGCATCTTCCTGGCATGATGACCTGAGCGCTGGCTGCCAGAACGGACAGCAGAGTGAGGGAAATTACCTGGATGGCGTTCATGTTTTCTCCACAACCTGGATAAAACAAAAAGTTATACAGATTTGGAATAATTATAATAAATTCATTTAAAAAGAGACACCGGCGTAGAAAAGGAGAACTGCCTCCTGCTTACCTGTATAACTGGTAGAAGTGAAGATCTGCGTTTTGGTGGAGTTTTTATAGATATGTTTTATCAGCCTCTCCTTCACGATAACATGTGAGGCTGTTTCTATACATTTGTGGGAGAATATGCACCTGTTTACACAAAGGCCTCTGACATAAGTGGAGATGATTGACATGTTATTGTAAAAGTAAGATAACAGTGCTGCTGTCAAAAATAGCTCAGAATAAAAGCAAATATTCTAACCATTATACTATAGCGTTTTTTTAATATGTAAAAAAAATTGATTTTATTTAAATTGGTTTATTTAGTTTAAAAAATGTATAAAACATTGTAAAAAGTTTTCAATAGGGACAAAATAAACACATTTATACCAACTGATACAGCAGAATGTGAAGTCGTTTTTGGAAGGTAATGTTGGTTTGTGCACTGATTCAGATTATTATATCTTAATCTCTATCAGATGACATTCATGTTGCTCGGAGAAAAAATCCTACTAACTGTAGTGACCCCACTGATCTTTCCAGAAGCTCCACAGTGAGGTCGACTTTTGAGTAAAATGCACAAGCGTCTAAACTAGAAGTTTTCCTCTGGTTTTACTATATTTAAAAAATGAATGACATATACCGTATTATTACATTCAAACATAATATATGAAATGCTCAACCACCATTTATTTGTTGGAAAAGTGCATTTTGTAATGTATTCAATTAGGGGCCAAACTCTCTATTGACATTACCGTCTGCCTGTATTGTACATGATGATGTGTAATGCTAAGTACAGCAGCACACGTTAGCCTGCTAACACACTAAGGTGGTGAACAGGGTAAACATCACATGCCAAACATGTAAAGTCTGCCATTGTGAGCATTTTTGTTGTCAGTCTTCAGCTCAATGCATTGTGGAGCTATCAGAGCAACTTGAATCAAAACAAATTAATAGTCCAATGGATCCAATATGTGACACCACAGTGATTTACATTTAGCCTAACAGCCTCAGACATCGTACAGAAGGCCCTGCTAATCATTTCACTTTTACTTCAGAAGGCGCTGTAAGCCTCTGATCAGGTGTTTGATCAGTCCTCTGGAGACTGTCACGGTGAGAGCTGTTCTTCTTCATTGATGCAGACGTGTGAGGCTCCTGCAAGATTACCTGCCTAAAAATATTTTCCTCTCGTGTCTCACAACATAAAAATAAACTTTAGTCCCTTGATGTTACCTAGATGTGTTTTCCCCATCCAGTGCTTTCAGATGAAGATGGTGACTTTGTAGCATTAAGTAGTTGTAGCAAAAATGTATAATAATAAATAGGCATATTTTTACAGTATTAGGCGAGCAAGAACATTTCAATTAAAGCAGTTGAAAGTAAATGTATTCAAGTGCTATTGTAAAACATGAAGTAATTGTCATTTTACTTGAGTAATTCAATCTAATTACACCTTTATTTTACACTCTGATGTGAGTATTTTACTTTGTTATTTTAAAGCTTTAATTCCAAGTTATTTACAGATATATATTAAGCGATTAAATTAAGTCCAATATAAATGACTTTACAAGCTACTACATAAACTGTTGCTTACATTTTAAAGCATACAATATTTCAATGATATGATGGGTATATCATTATAAAACTCTTTAAAGGGACTTTACTGTAATACTTTTCGTTGTATTTGCTTTAAGTCGTATGTTTGTATACTTAAGTGAAATCTTGAATGACATTCACTGTGTCAGTACACATTACCTGAATGTAATACAATGAGGATCTAAAGGCTTTGCCAGTTATTTCAGGGATTCTTTATCCTAAATCTCACAGTAATCGAGACCTAAACAAGATTTCCACTGAGTGTAAAAGACTTGCACCTCTGAGGGATTACAGCTTTCTGGGGCATTTGTCATTCAATGGCAAGGAATCTGGTCTCCAGATTGTTCCTGCAATTAGAAGATGGAAGTGTGTTTGTGCTCTGTGAATTTATAGCCGGTCCTCTTCCTGGAGGTAAACCTGTTCTGATCCCTTCGCCTCACTGTGACTCTATAATGCTGGGTGCAAACAAGACGGACAGAAATCCCTCATAAAAAGCTTACACTAGGAGATTCTTAAATTAGCGGTTTAGGTGTCCTAATGCTCTGCTCTCTTAATTCCCTAAATCCTTCATAAGTCTCTTTTCAGTAGAAATTTACCTTTTTGTCTCCTGCTCAAACAGACAGTTACTACTTACGTTAATCAGGTTTATGTAGCATGTATTGATTTTAATAAAACTTAAATCGAAGTTAATGCACTCGTTGACAAAACAGTGATGCAGCTGCAACCAAGTATGCAGATTGATAAGCCATAACGGAACAGGTTGGTGCTGTTTTTACAATATATGTATTTTTGTGTTCATTAAGTAGAAGATGGCTTCAGAGGAAAGCAAGTACAAAGACTAAGATTAAAATATGCAACACCAGGGTTACAATGATTATGTGCAATAATAAAATTCCTGCAACATGGCTCTGTGTAGTATTATGCGTATAAGATGTTTTCTATGACACCACATCGAACGGCATTCTCTGTCAGGCTGTAAGCGTTGGGACATTTTCCATAATCAAAGGCAATAAAATGTTACTTTAAAAGTTAAACTTGTTTTTTGATGTTTCTATTTGAAGTATCACATTGGACTTTCACCTTTGGAATGAAGACAAAGGTTTATGCATTTGTACATTCAAATCACATGGTTTGAATTATGATGAAATTATGTCTATGTTTGGAGGATAAATACATTGGGTGTAATTCTTAAACTGAGTTGTTTTGTTGCAAACTGCAATGAAAAGAGAATAGATTCAAGACGTTCAGTAATTATTAGAATAGTAATGGACTGAAACCATAATAATAATAATAATAGATTTAATTTGTTAGCGCTTTTACAGGTGCTCAAAGACGCTTTACAGATAATAGTGAAGAAAAAAGAAAAGAGAAGAAAGGAACAACAAATAAATATATAGTTAAAGTTAAAGTCAAATAATACAAAAACAATCACACATGAAAAGCCAGATTGAAGAGGTGAGTTTTTGTGAGTTTTTTGAAGGTGGTGAGGTCGGTGCAGTCTCTGATGGGTTGTGGGAGTGAGTTCCAGAGGGAGGGGGCAGCGACGGAGAAGGCTCTGTCCCCCCAGGTCCGGTGATTGGTGCGGGTGGGGATGGATAGGAGGTTGGCTTCTGATGAGCGGAGGCAGCGGGAAGGGGTGTGGTGGTGCAGCAGGTCTGTGAGGTAGGGGGAGGCCTGGTTGTTGAGGACTATAATAATAATAATAATAATAATAATAATAGTATACTTTATTTATACAGCACATTTCAAACAAATTCACAAAATGTTACGAACACATTTAGATTATGTACACACAGAGCATAAAATATACCAGAAACCCCAAAATTTAACACATTATACAGTTCAGAATAAAACAACACAAGTTAGTAATAAAACACAAATACAAACGCATAAAAGTAATTCTAAAAAAGTGGGTTTTTTAAAGTGAATTAAAGACCCTGATTTTCTAAGGCGGTTTGTTCCAAAGTCCAGCAGCCCTGACAGCAAAGGCTCTATCTGCAAAGCTCTATTATGAACGTCTAGTCTTTAGAAGCTGCATCCCTTCAACAAACTGAACACACACATCCAGCAGCAGCATCAGGTCACAGGAGACTGAAACAGTTTATTCAAGCTAAAGGTCACTGATATAAGAGCTCAGTGCAGCTCTGGTGTTTATAATGACATCCCTCTTCTGCAGCATGAGGACGCTCCATCTCCAAACTGCTCTGAACAACAGCATGACTGAAGGAAACTCACGTGTAATGTGTCTGTGCTGCAGTATGCAGAGGGTAAAAGCCTGAATTGGTTGTAATACGAATTGTAATGTACTGTAATGGTGTGGTGAGTCATTTCCTGGCACACATTAAACCCCTTTCAATACGAAATTAGCATAATTGTCATGACAGAGTGTACCAAAGCTTTGTTGATGACCAGGTGCACCTTTTCATGTTTTGAAGAGGAGTAGCTGCAGAATATTCAGCTGCTCGGTTCTCATCATTGGGAAATCATTTTGAGAAACATGACTTCAGTTGCTTTCAGATCTTAACAAAGGCATTACATTTTTTTGTATCAGGAGAAGGCAGATCAAGAATGATTGTTTAGAAGAAACATCTTGTTAATGCACTATATTATTAGGTTTATAGAACACTAAGGGTGACAGTGCAAATGCTACGATGCTTTAATGCTAACCATGCTAACGATCTTGGTTTAGTATGTTAGCAAGCTACCAGTTGCACTAAGCGTAGGCTAAAGAAAAGCTGAGGCTAATAGGAATGGCATTATGTTCTACATTTTCAAACTAATAAAAAAACAACATTAAGGTATAATCATAGACTGTATAGGGTATAATCCACAGTCCCATGACTTAAAGGTGGGGTATGTAATTTTGGAGACACCAGCTTGAGTGCGCTAGAATTTGAAAGTATACAACCGGAAAAGATCTGCCTCTTCCTTCAGACTTCCTTACAGAGCCCCTTCTCCAACGGACGCGCACATGACCAATGAGGGCACGATAAGTTTGTGCACAGATGGAAGGCTGACAGGCAGTTACAAATAATTGGTCGTGCTTTATACAGCACCACGGCTTCCACAGATGACATTTTTTTTAATATATTCATTGCTATCGGGATGTTAAGAGCATTCCATGGAATATAAGAAAAAGTGTTTCTGAAGTCAATTGCATACCCCATCTTTAATGTCACCATTAGTCAGACTCTGTTTGGCGCGATGACGTTTAGCATTATAATTTAGCAACTTGTTAGCAACCACCGTTTTGGGACAAATAAAAGCTTTAAAATGCACAAGTGGGATAGTATTTACTGCTATATTTTACCTTGTGGTATATTGCAAGACAGTTCAACCTCACAAGGGTTCAGTGACCTCTAATTTCACTCAACTCTGCAGGAGCGCTTTGCTGTCTTGTAGAAAACGATAGAAACATCACACAGTCTGTCCCCGCTCTTTCATAACTGCAGTTTAACAAATTGTCCCCCCGGCCCACCAACTGTGCACACCTTTCTGCCCGCCAGGCATTAAAGAAAAAAACGTAATTCAAAGAAGTGCAGGGTCTTGCTGTAAGCGGTTGGTGAGCACAAACTGTCAGATTAAGAGGTCTGAGAGGATCATCCGCCATACATTTAGTCGGATTTCTAGAAAATTACCAACAAGCATGTTTGGGTCAACCCCTCAGCCCCCTGGGGAGCATATTACTGACACCCTACCTAGACATGTGAGAAAAACAAAAACAAGACTGATCTGTAGATTTAAAAAAGTCTGCACACAGCGTCATGTAGCTTCTCTGCATGTGGTCGCAGAGCAGCTAAGGAGGGCATGCGACATTTTGCAACTGGAAAAGGAAGCTAAGCATTTAGGTGTCTTAACTATGGTCTAAAGCGCTAACAAGGGATTAGTGAGGTAAATGTTGAAAGAGGTTTAGCCCTCCATGCTTAGGACCAGTGCTGCTTCAGTAAATACACATCAGTGACAAGGTGCGGCGGGCAGTTGGATGGGAGATCATAGTGATGTCAGGACAGGGAGGGCTTACCGCCGGAGATAAGGCCATCTAATGGAGATGAAATGAATCGGTATTTAAGGGGTCGTTTTTAGTTAAGGCAGTTAGCTGGCAACACTCAGAGCAGTTGGCTGGTTCGAGGAAGGCCATTTAGTTGGAAGTTGAAGAGAGAGACAGTCGTGAGCTGGTATTCCCTTCACTTGTTTGACCTTTTTGACCTGAATTGATACAAAACCAGTTCCCAGGTCTGCTCATTAGTGTGAACTTGAAGGTAAGTCATTTAAATATTCCTCTTCCTTTTATTTCCCTTCGCCCATTTGTCTTTTTCTTTCATTGTGACTGATTTGTCTACTTCGATTTCAGTTGTTGGAAATCAAATGTACTCTACAGTTATTCTTGTAAAAGCATGAAATCTTCTTAGTTTATTCCCGACTATACATTATAAATGTCTTATGCCTCAGTAAGCAAAAATAACAAACAATCCTAAATGTGTTAAACTGGATATTTGCATCACAATGTTATAAAAATGCAAATTATGATTGGGGAAACAACCTTGAAATCTGGATAATTACCATCTTAATTAAGCTAGATTCTGTAAATAGCGCTTATTAAAAAAAAAGAAATGATGCTAAAATACATCATAAATAAGCATGAGGTTTGTATCAACTGTGGTGATTTGTATTAATTTAAATATATTGATTTATATTGATTTGTATTCTTTCAATCATCCTTTTAAACACTTTGTCATGTGAGATTATGACACCATGTGTAATTCTCACCACAAACAACTCAATCAAATGTAATCTGCTTTTGTTACTGGCAGAACATGCATGGTTTTAGCATGAGTACGTTGTGTGAGGATTAAGAAGGACTAGACAATACTTCTGTCTTGTCTGATATGACCTCCTCGAAACTGCATCCGAGTCGTCAGCAATTTTTCCTTTTAATTCATTCTTGTAATGAGATTAACCAGCAACAGCAAATCCCCGGATTTGGCAGCTGTGGTGTGGCCTTGGTTTGTCGAGGAAATATGAGACAGGAGTTTATCACCTGTTATGACGCACTCACTCACAAAACTCTGCTTTAAATGTCCCTGTAAGGTTATATAACAACACAGTCTCACGGCATATCGTGTTATAGTCACAAAATTAATCTATTGACAGTACGATTTTAAAAGCAACGTAAATAATACCAAGTTAGAAGGAAAAAAATATTAAAACAAATACAGATTTCAGTATTCTGAGGCTCTGAGCCCCATTTATTTTCCTCGCGGACGGCAAAAAAATGTTGTTATGAACCACACAGCTTCTGGTCTTCCAAGACCCGACCGGACAAAAAGACGTGGTGCAGGCACGAAACATACTACCAATAGAAATACATTGCATTTAAAATCGTTCTGTGTGACACGAAAGAAATGCGAAAATCGTGTTGGTTAACACGAATCAATAGATTAAATTAATTTCGTAACTATAACACAAAATGCTGTGAGACTGGGTTGCATATAAATACCCTGATGTTTCAGGATTGAGGATGTGTTACAACATGTTAAGTCTCAGGCCACAAGTTCACCTTCAAGACTTTAACTTAATCAAAGTGTTAGCTGTGATTGAACTATCCTCAACTGAGGATTCCAATCAAGTTCCCACAAGTGTAGCCATACTTTTCTCCTCACAAGTATTACCTTTACATTATGCAGCTTAACATTTTCCTCAAGAAAAACAACCTTTATTAAACCTAAAATGTTATTTGACACTAAATGCTAAGGTATGTGCAGAATCCTAAAAGACTCTTTCAGCAATCTGTATGAAATATTATGTTGTCCGAAGCTTATTTACAAATCCAAACAAAGATGGTAGATGGATATTTGTACACAATTTAGACACTATGAATCATTTAAAATCTGAAAAACTCAACAAAAAAACCCCAATATGTCTTTGTTCGTGTTTAAGATCACAGCACATAAGTCATGTCCAGCACAGCTCCAACAGAAAAAAGTTAAAAATATCGTTTGTTATCCTGCAGCAGTTTGAACATTTGTTTATCCTAATGGTCAGAAGAGTATTTGGGGATCATGGAAATCGTTGCATATACATTTATTTATTTTTTAAACAGCTAAGCTCTGTCACTTGCATGTAATGCTAAAACATACAGAGGCACACTTGGGTGCTAATACAGACTCCTCTTGTTCAGTTTCTGAAATGTTTTTATGTTTAAAGGATCAGGGATATTTACATTTTTGTTTCTTCAATCAACCAAGTATGGAAACTCTTAACACTTAAAAGCTTAATATTGTTGAAGAACAGATAGATGTATCACACATGAAATTCTAAACATTGATTCCAAATAAAGTGAGTGGGAAATCGGTAATACATTTGTCACAATGCCCTGCGTCTCGGGACTTTGAGACAACTTTTGAATCACAGAGACATAATTGTTGGAATACATTTCTTCGCATTTGCTGACGCTAGCTGTTGTGATATTGACAGAGAGGTAGGTGGTGGAAGGGTGCATATGTTCGCACCACATAGCTCCACATAAACCGATTGCATCCCCAGATTTATCCCCAAGGTGTTTTTAGGACATCCTGGGAGCTAATGGAGGCTAATAGGCTTAGCACTTAGGGTGTATTGTCCAGGATGCTTACAGGCAAGGTTTGCTGAGGGTAAAACTCTAAACGTGCGGATTACCTCTAACACATCCCTTTAAAGTGCTGTATAGCCAGGATTTAGCTAATAGGATCCTGAGGGTAACAGAGGCCTGGGAGGTGAGGATGGGGGTGGGATGGCCCAGCAGGGCGGTCTCAGGCAGGTCACCAGATGCATCTAGCAGACTGTTGCAGGACTAATAGGTGGATTACAGCCCTCAGATTAGATGAGCTTCAGAGGGAACTTGAGGGACTGTGGATAATGCTCAAGGCCTCTGGGTAAATCTTCTCTGGGGGAGGGGACAGCAGAAAAAATGCACAGTTTGCACCTGTCCCAAACACTGACCAGCTTATTAATCAAATACAATCATGATCACTGTAAACGTGTATGATACGAAGAGGTGGTGGTGAATTTGTGGGCACTCATCTAAATAGAGGCATATTGAACACTCTGCTCCTGGATTAGCAGAACTGGATTATCGCGCTGTCATTTACAGTATCATATTTTGTAATTGGATTTGTGCAGTCTAGAAGGCTAATTGTAGGTGTCTAAGTCAATTGTGCTCCCTTACAAAAGCTGCTGGCCCAGCCAAAAACAATATGGCCATTTGGAGGGTGTGTGTATGTGTCATGTTATAACTATACAGTATGTAATGTGATGTAATGTAAAGATAAGATGAATATCTCCGAAGATTTCTCCACATGTTAAGGGGTTGGTATTCCGTTGAAGATTTGGATGTAGGTGTTTAGTTTAAATTTAGGATTAGGTTTAAGGTGAGGGTTAGGGCTAAAGTTGGTTAAGATTAATGCTCACTGTCAAGGTAGAGGTGAAAGGTGAGAGGAAGGATATAGGGGTTAAGGAATATATTTTTGTGTATGCATGGACATGATATTGGTAGTTCATTCTAGCTGCCAGTTTTCAAATATTTTATTAATTATATGAAATTGTTCAAGTCTTCCTCATTCAATTGTTGCGACACAAAATGTGCTGTTAATTTTAAGTTTGATTGGTTAAAAATAATCGTTTTTATATTTAATATATATGATGACATTGTGAAGTGACAAATATGTTTGTTTGTTTGTTAGCATTTGAGTAGTTACATATAAGTATACTATTTTATAAAGGATGATACCCTAAAGTCCTTTAACCATCAACAGGCTATTTAATGTGTAGAGATGTGCTGCCTCCTTGTGGTACTCATGAGGAATTACACAATGTCTGCATCCATCCAAGTTACATTTTCTATTAAATTATATTCCAAAATGTTACAAAATGTCAATGTTTTTTATATTCTAACTTTCAAAAAACTCTTACAGGTTTCTGTCGCAGGTCGCGTGTCATGACCCCACGGGAGCAGCTGAGGAAGATGACAGCGTTGGGAGAGCAGGGTGCTTTGGATGAGAAGCACTGGTACCGTCTGGTCAACGGCATGTCAGCTGGAGGTGAGATATGAAAAAACAATTCTAAACAACAATGTTAAATACTAGAAGATTCAAAGAAAATGTTATAAAACATAAAAAAACACAAAAAATTGGCGTAGAATTCATGAGAATGTGAAAAAATGCAGGTCCTGACACCTCCCTAAAGCCTGAATATGCATTTTTGAGCTCCAAACAGGTTAATCCAACTTGTCTGACCTTGTCTTTGGAGTGTATTGGATTGTTACCTGCTCAGTAGTACCTGCAGGCTTCAGCTTTTACAGTCAATCGGTGCACGTCTCACATATAGAGGCTGTGTAGACTGACTCCCTGGTGACCTTTGGTGCTTGTTCTTCTCTTGCAGAGCTGAGGCAGAGGCAGGAGTTGATAATGAGGAATCAGATGGCCATGGCTCCACAGATCCTCGCCCAGGGGCAGCAGAGGTTACAGGGCGTTCCAGCGCAGTTCGAACCTCGCTTCATGGAGAGGTCTGTACCTGACTTCACTCTTAAAACTGAAACAGTAGCTCTGTGGTTAAAAGCCTCTTGAGAATATACAGCCAAAGGTGGATAAGGGAAAATAACACATGGCTACTCAAGAGAAACAAGGTACACTTTGTACAATGACAAAGCTTTAATTGAGACCACATTAGCAGTTATTAAAGCTGATCATCTGCCCCTTGAAGTTGTGTATAAATGACCACGTGTGGAGGTATTAAGTTCCTGTACTTGAGTGAAGGTATACCAGTACATTATTGTCAAAATACTCCTTTACAAGTAATAGTGCAATTTTCCATTTATTATTTAAGTATGAGTACAGAAGTATTATTAGCAACATGATCTAAAAGTATTAAAAGTAAAAGTTCTCAAAGTGCAAAAAATGGCCTCCATATGGGAATATAATGATTGTCTATATATGACAGTATTTTTGGTTTTACATGGTGTTGCGTTAGGCAGTATGTTACTATTGCAGACAAAGTTTGACTATCTTTTCTTAACTTTTTTTAAAATATACTCGATAATTTTACCTAATCTGAAAAGTAACTAAAGCTTTAAAAAATAAATGTGCAATAGGAAAAAAAGAATATTTCCCTTTTTAATGTAGTGGAGAAGTATAAAGTAGCATATAAATGGAAACACTCAATTAAAGTACAAGTACTTAAAAATGGTAACTAAGAAAATGACTTGAGTAAATGTACTTAGTTACTTTCAACCACTGTAGATGACTGATTTTTCATGCTTTCCTGTCATTAGGGAGATGGTTCCCACCTCTGAGATGGTAGCCTCCGAGGCCCGACAGATGCACATGGGACCTCACATGGGTCCCTCTATGCCCCCCCATGCCAATGTCATGCCAGGAAGAGGTTTCCCTGGAGCAGGTGAGATAGATAGATAGATAGATAGATTAGTACTTTATTGATCCCAAATTGGGAAATGTTTGCGTTGCAGCAGCATAAAAACACAGGGCAATGTACATAAGACGAAGAGAGCATGGCCAGATGCACCTGAGATAATTCCCAGCCGTTCTCTGCCTTTCCGTAAGGAGGAATATGAGTGAGTTTTAACAGCCTCCGTGTTTTTTTTGTTTTTCAGCTGGATATGGTTTTATGCCCTCCGAACCCATGGAAACAGTTGCTCGGCGACAGGAGTTCATCCACAAGCAGAATATAGCCAGGTATTGCGTGCAGAAAGTAATTAACATCCCACAGACCTATACCACCTACACACAGGTCCACTTCACTTGTTGCAGAATGAAACTGAAACAATAGCTTTGGACTTTATATTAAAAGAGATACTTAACTTACAAAATGACCATTTATATATCAATGACTCACCTGCTTTACTTTGAATTATTGAACAAAACATCTTCACCAACCAATTAAAATAAATGGGGTTTGTGTTTGACAACTGCAAAACTATCTATACAAATCTCTCACACAACTCCTCTATCATAATCTAGGTCTCTTTTACTTCCAAATGACACGTTGGTGCACATTCTGTTTATTTTGAAGTGTTTTAAGTATTAAAGTCCTAGCAAAAATGCATGTGGGGAGAATGGAGAATATGACTGAATAAGTAAGACTTGGATTATATTACATACATTCTGTGAGATTTTGTAAACTGGTGTTTTGATATAGTTGTGCTGTTGTTTAATGTGGCACCAATTTACTTCAGTTCACAGTTTACTTCACAAATTAGATGTAATGTGGTATAGAATTGATATAGAAAGGATCATGTCTAGGATGAAGTATGGCTTTAATAACAAAGTGGAATAATCTGTCTCCATCATGCACGAACTGCACGTCTAATATGTGTGTGTGCCCCTCAGAATGGAGATGAATGCCATCCTGCACCAGAAGGAGCTGGAGAACGCCCACCAGAAGGGACTATTGGGAATTGAAAACCCCATGGCCTACTCTTCAAACCCCATGGCGTTCAGAGGTCGTCAGCGGATGCCAGACGGCCACGATGTCTTCGTGCACCGCCCCAGCCTGGATGAGCTGCACTCCAACAGCATCCTCATGTCGGCCAGCCCTTACCCGCACATCGGCACGCTGCACAGGGAGCGAGGACGCAGGGTCGGCAGGAGGCCAACATCTCACAAGAGCGCAGAGAGCCACGCATCCAACCTGAAAGGCCACACTGAAGATAAGAGATTAGAGCAGAGCCCGGGGGCCACGTCAGGGGAGGAGAAAGAGGTGGAGGCAAAGGGGGATATGGGAGAGGAGTGTGCCACCAGCAAGGCGCACCATCAAGCAAAAATAGACTCTGAACTCACAGCAGGAAGCAGGAAGAACTACAAAGATGGGGAGACAGGGCTGCGTAAATCCTGTGTGAACAGTCAGGACGGGTCGGATGTGGCCAACAGCGGGGTAAACGATAAAGACATGTCCAGCCAGTGTTCGGTTTTCCAGGAGAAGTTCATGGATCCCTCCGCTGGTGGAGCGCTCACTGGCATGCCTTACATGTTCCCAGTCCCTGGAAATGGTTTCCTTCCACCTGGTTAGTTTCTAGATTACAATATATTAGTTTAGCAAAATCCTTTACCCAGTATTTTACACAGTCATGGAAAAGGCGCTCATGTTTTACTTAAATAAAGTAGCAATACACATGAAAATTGCTGCGTTGAAAATCTTACTAAAGGAAGTGTTATCATCAAAGTATTTTTAAAAACACAAGGTAAAAGTCCTCATATACAGAAAGTTACATTTCAGGATGTTAATGTGTAAAAAAAAAAAAAATCTTATATTGCCTACTCTTGGTCAGCTTAAGATAATACTAAAAAGGAATGTGTTTGATGATTAATATGTTTTTGATTATTTATCTGACCCTGCAAACTAACTAGTTACTAAAGATGTCAAATAAATGTAGTGCAGTAAAAAGTGAAATATTCCCCTCTAAATGGTAGTGGATTGGAAGTATAAAGGGTACCACTTTACAATAAGACTACCCTTATAAAGGGTTTACGAATAGTTTGTAGTTAATTTATTAATTAGGTTGTGAACACTTTATAAATCATTAATAAGCTTTTATAATACATAAACAGGGCAACTGTGACCGGTTGCTTGCCAAATAGTGAGCCCACATTTATCTGTGTTGCTAAGCCTTATATCGGCTACCTAGCTTACTTCGTCTTCTTCATCAGCCAGCATCCTTGGTATCTGTTGTTCACTGAGTTGATTCTTGCTAAGTAGCCAATATAAGGCTTTGTCATCTTGCCAAATAGTGAGCCTGTGTTGAAGTATGAAAACTGTTAGAACTGGTTTATAAATGGTTCTTAATGATAAATAAAGTGTTTACAACCTAATTCATAACCTAATTATAAACCCTTCATGAATCCTTTATCTTATTGTAAAGTGGTACCGTATAAAGCATATAATGGAAAGTAAAGTAACTCAAAATCGTTAAGTCACAAAGTTACAGTCCACCACTAAGTTGTATGTCTTTTTTTCCAGGTCGACCAAATCTCTTTCTTAATGGGGATGAAGGGTCCGAAGATATAAGGAAGTGGAACGTGAATGATGTTTACAACTTTATCAACAGCATACCCACATGTTCAGAATATGCTCAGGTTGGTTTCTAATGTTATCTAAAACTCTCTTTATTCTTTCTGTTCAGTCATTGTTGTGCTAATGCTGTGTGGCATCTCTCTGCAGACGTTTAAGGACCACATGATTGACGGGGAGACGCTGCCCCTTCTGTCAGAAGAGCATCTGCTGGACACACTGGGGCTCAAACTGGGACCAGCACTAAAGATCCGCTCACAGGTAGATAAACAAAATGTGAGATGTGTGCTATCTGAGAATACATGTCACGACAACTCTAATAACTCATCAATGAATGCAACTTTGAATGGATTCAATATCTATACAATATATGATAATTTTTCAAATTTGTTTTGGTTGAAAATGTTGTAATAGTAGAACTAGGTTTACTGATTATTCTTTAACTATCAGAGGTATATGTTGACTGTCAAAGTAAAATACAGGGGTTGCTAAAAATGAAATAAATGAATGAAAAAAATAGAAAAGCTGGATTTCATTTTCAAAATTGTACCCTGCTGTACATTTTCGAATACAAATTCGAAAATGTAAATGCAATATTAACAACAGTAACTGCTTACTTTAATGTCATGTTTAATTAAAAAAAGGAAAATTCAAATTTCTCTGACTTTTCAAATAAGAATGAAAATTCTATTTTAAATATCGAGTTCCCTGGGCTTCCAAAAAATGGAACGCAGCCAGCAACCGGGACATTTTGTACACATGCTTTTCCTACTGTGACATTTCAAAATGTCTTCTGTAAAAAGATGGAGGAAACAGGTGTCATACAGATGTTGACCAACATCTGCAGCACTTCCTGTCATCTACTTCATGTCTTTGGAGACACATCTGCAAACACTAATAAATCTAATATATTTAAACTCTCCTCACTCCCCTTCAGGTTTCCAGGCGTGTGGGCAACATTCTGTACATGATGAACCTGCCGCTCTCCTCCTCCGCCCTGCAGGCCACTCCAGAGAAGGCTGCGGACCGCTCCTCAGAGATTGGCTCTCCTGTCAACTGCACCAGTGACGAGATGTTGGCGAGTCCAAGAGACCCCGAAGTCCTCAAATCCACAGATCATCTTCATGAGACAGAAAACAATTCCCCTCCATCTGCCAGCAGCGAGACCGCCTGATCAGGACTGAACATGTGGACAGATGAAAAAACTTCACCAGTCTGCAAGGCTCTCATCAAGCTGCCTCAGTGATGGATTTGTTTACATTTACTGGATTGATTATGCTTCTTTTACTACTTTCTAAACATTGCCATTTAATGCACAGTTCCCATTAGGCCCAGGTGTCAGCTTAATAATTGTTTTTTATATATAAAAGTGAATATATTTTTAAAAGTGAAGTGAAACTGATGTGTGAGTTAAGAGCTAAGAAGATATTTTTCATTGTTCACAACAGGCCTCTAAAAGTCTGATTGTAGCTTTAAACAAACTTATTTTTTTAAGCTGCTATAAGTGTCACTCATCCAGTAGGCCGTTATAAGGACCATAGACATAATATGGGAATGGTTTTACATGGTTACAGAATAATCAAAGTGAGATGTTTGAATGTTTGATACCTTTCTTGCGTATGTTGTATTTTAAATAAAGTGTTTTTCTACTGACAACCTACAGTACCTATCTGTCATGGTAAGGAATAAATAAGTGAGGATTCAATTTCATAAATCTGTATTTCAAATAAAAAAAACACACATAGTAACACAAAGAACAAAAAACAATAGTAACAGATTACGATTGCCGATTATTTATTTAAATCTGCAAAGTAACTAAGGAAACAAATGAATGCAGTGGAACGTACACTATTTCCCTCCGAATTGTGTGAATATATATTCATACATACATGGCGTCACTCAGACAAAATATGTCCCTCCCCCGGTGTTGAACCTCGAGCACCTGCATGAAAAACCAATGCATAGAACATTTATAAGTAAGCACATTTAGTCAAATAAAGTGACAGACTGGGCCTGTGCAGTTGGTGACATCTATGCCCAGCATGGGCTAAATTCTGTAGGCTTCAAGCTATGACTTCAAGGCTTCAACCCTAAATCGCAAGATCTCGCGATAATACACTATCTATGCGCGTGCGCAGGTTCGCGCACGTCGGAGGAGCTGAGTTGGAGGATCATGGCGGAGCGCAGGAAGCACAAGAAACGGATCCAGGTAACATCACTGAACTCATACAAATGACCCCTCTAGAAGTTAAGGGACACCGAATTAAAGCCGTGTCCTTGTTTAGGAGCGTTTGAGGGCCGTTTGTTACCGGTAGCATCTTTGTGGGGAGCCGTTAACCGTTTGCGGATGAAGCCAGATGACGGCTAACGGTAGCTAGCATTAGCTGGCTAGCGAAAAACAAATGTTAGTGTTTTTATTTTTGATGTGACGTTTTGGAGCTATTTATTATCTGTATCGCCTGTAGCACTCACACGCTAACGTTGTTGTAGTACTTTTTGTTAAAGTGTCTCCACAGTGCACCATCGTTATTCTGAGTAAACTTAACGTTTTCAGGCTTAGCTGCGTCAGCTCTAACTAAACGTGTTTACATAACGTGGGGCAATCTGCGGGATTTTAAATTAATGAGGCAACACAGTACATCATACTGTTGTTCTTTAACATAATGTGCATGTAGCAAAGAAGTAGTAGGCTCCCAGACTGGAGCATTTCTTCACTTTAAAGCAACAGCTTATTCAGAGTGGCTACGTGTTCATTCCCTTCACTCCAATACATTGTTTTAAACAAGGTGTTAGTAGTTTCATTTTAGGATCCCATATAGTCCTCCAAAAACATGACATACAAATTATAACCCGTATTTATAAGAGGAGGAAGACTCAAAGCTCCCATTCCAGGTGCCCATTGAAGCATATGCTTAGACACAGATATGCTAAGACTTGTATGGAGTCATTTTGATCAAATGTGATTGTAGTTTTCATTCACGAGCTGTGTTGAAGTTTCTAAAGGTCATGTCAGTGTGATAAAACATTTCAGCATTCATTGTAAAAAAAAAAAAAGTTGTGGTCGTTTAGATTACCATTGTCATACTAGGGAGGGATTAGAAGGAACATTTGAAACATACTGTACATTTTGCTTTCTTCATGTGTAGTTGATTGTTTTGCAGTATGGTTGATGTCAAGACTATTGTGAAAGTATTGCATCATTCTGCATGTGGATTGTTTAGCAGTTGCAGAACATACTATAGAGATGATTGTTGTACATACTGTATTACTATGTACTGCAATATGGTATTGGGACCCAGTCATTGTGGAATTGTGAGATAACCTAAGATGATTCATTCCATATGCTGTGCTTAGTAAAATATGGAATGTGTGTATTGCGTGACATTAAGCTGACATTGTAATATTATGTTTAAGCTCAGCTGAATAACGACACATACCATTAAAAAGGCCTGTTCATTACCAACTTCATCACTCTGTATTAGACAACAATTATTTGTGTTGTCCCTTACTTTCTCATGATCTCTAAAATACCATTCAATTGTGATTTACCGTACAGCATTTATGGTCTGAAATATATTTTTAACCGAGAATGTTACTTACCTGTTTTATTAAGTGCATCTAGCTGAAACTAATACTCTGCCATTCAGCAGGCCGGCTTTAAATCCTACCTTCATTAAGTTTGTGTTCAGCTGAACCACAAACCAAATGAGCAGTCTACCTGAATGACGGTATGACTGCAGGGTCGTTGTTAGACTGAGTTCTACCTAATGGCAGCTGTATAGTTTGAGGTTCAGTTGCATAACACACACATGCTGTTATCTCATTTATGAGCATACCTGAAACTCAAACTAGCTTGTGTCCTCATGTTATTAAAATGCCACATCACAGTATTCAAGGTTTGACATGAAGCCAAAATTATTGTTTCAATGCACACCTAGACAATTAGTGCTCTCTAATTAAGAACAGGCCTGCCCTAACTAAGTCTTACAACAATCCAAGAAGGTTATAATCTTTTATTTTGAGAGCTTTTTAATGCTCAATTTAACCCCAAAAGGGTAGAACCTCTTTTCAGTATGAATCAAAACAGTTCATCAGCGCCACAAACACCTCTCTGAAACAATTGCAACTCCGTAACTTTTATGTAGAAATGTTTAAATATAGAGCTGTTGCATTAGTTTGTGGCTGGTGTTAGTAATACACGTGCTAACTAGGAGCAGGTCATGTTCTAGTCTAGTTGCATGACACAGGCCCTGTTCTAAGATGACCATGCCAAATTACACAACGGTTTTCTCCTTTTTTTGACATTTCGGCATTTCCCATTGTGTCTTGCAGTATTCACGGTTAAACCCAAACTGTTACTTACAGTATATGTTTGAAAGGACTTGTATTTGGTGTGGAACAGTAGCAATCTGTCCTCACATACTATTGCTGTTGGAGCAGAGCAGCTTATCCGCATGTGCTTATGCCAGGTAGATCGTGTAGACGGGGACAGGGGGCTTTCTGTGTAGGGGTCTCATGTAACTGAGCTTAGCGACTGATACCTGCTTCTTTAAACAAAGGCTTGTTTTATGGCCTCGTCTTCCTCGTGTTGCTGCTCAGAGCCAGCTGGACTGGAGAAAGCAGCACTGACTCTCATTGTGCTGATGCTCGCCTCCCTCTGTGCTGGCCTGTGCTTCAGAGCTGTAGGCCGGCACACACTGCAGATGTGTTCAGGAGTGTGGATGACTTTTGGCTACTCCATGTTATTGCTACTGATAAACATCTACACTATGAAACGGGACACAATGTGAATCTCTAGAGGTCCGCACTGTGCAGGCTTCTGTTTAGCCACTTAGATTGCAACATCATCTAAACAACGTGTGGTCACCTCTCAATACAACCACATAACCACACTTTGAATTTTTGTGCAAAAGTTACAATGTAGTATGCACAGGTCAAGTACAAGTTAAAGACCTATCTCTGGTTGCATGAGGCTGTTGCAGGCAGTGCTTGTCTTAAATCAACAAGCAGGACTATTTATGGTAATATTTTCTTTACACAATTGTTGCATAAATGAGTTACTTAAATGTGTCAGTTATTTCATTCACTTGATACGCCAAAAGGGTCAAGTTAATGTATTTGTTTTACTTTTGTGTTCTCAAAAAATCAATGACATTGTAGAATTTACTGCAATTGATTGAAATCACTTCCCGTGTGTTTGTCCTGTTTTTGTAGGAGGTGAGCGAGCCCACCAAGGATGAGAAGGCGGTGGCCAAGTACCTCCGATTTAACTGTCCCACCAAGTCCACCAACATGATGGGCCATCGAGTCGACTACTTCATCGGTAAGTGCTCAGTCATTGGATGTGAGGCAGCTGGCAAACAACTCCTACCTCCTGCCCTCTGTTGACATTTGATGGATTTACTGAACAGAAGTGCGACTGCATTCGATTTTATTACAAAAACCGAAAGCATACTGGGTTTTCCACATTAGTATTTTAGGGAAAACCCTGTGCCTCTTTACTGAAGTGGTATTTTCCGCTGCATCATAGACCTGATCCTCCCACACAGTATTTACTTGTTCTGTGGCATGATGGAGCAAACAGCATTTCCCAAGACTGACAGATATATTCCAACATATGTCTGTCAGTCTTGGGAAATGCTGTTTGCTCCGTTGTTGCTCGAGGAAAAGGTTATGACTGCTGAGGCGCTGTAACCATCACATGACCTTACAGGCTCTCACCTACTGGGAATAGAGCTTCACAGCCATTATTCAAGTTTGATCTGTCAGATTAAGGGATGGGCAGCCAATCTTAAAGTGGCAATCTATTTTTACAAGAATATAAAAAATGATAGGATGTGTTCGAGGTGAGGAACATGCTGAATCGGTAGTTTCCCTCGTCTTAACAGCGCTTTATTGTGACATTCAACTCATTGTTTACTCCCTCAGCTGCTACTTTATTGATTGAATCACTTACACTGCTCTCTAAACTTAACTAAACAAACAGTTCCCATCTGTGTCTTTCTTTGTTTTTAGATTATTAAAATAATTATTCAAATAATTATCCAGATAACAGGTTGAATATTGAGTCCCTGCACCACTCTGTGTTTGTTAATGTCCATCTTTGTGTCCTGACTCGTAGCCTCGAAGGCCGTGGACTGCCTGCTGGACTCCAAGTGGGCGAAGGCTAAGAAG